GGTGAGAGGAAGGTTAAATGGCAAGAGGGTAAATGTCACAAGTCAGTGAAATCTCTGTTTAACTGCGGCGTCAAAAAGCGACGCGCTGTGCCAGAGCGTCGCCTCCCGACGTGCATCGGAAAAAAACACTTGGTCACCGATCGTCAGTTTTACCCACTCTGACGTCATCAATGATTAGTCAAAGTCGACTAGATTTTCATTAGTTAACTGTTGAATTAAAAAAAATAATAATTAAGTCATGCAGCCCCTGTTAGGAGGTGGCGTTTACTGTGCTGGTGGCTAATAGAAAAGCTAGCAGTTAGCCTTTTTAGTTCAGTAAAAAGCACACGATGAAGAAGTTTGCTGTTTGTTGGCACCATGGTGGAGTTTAGGAGTAAAAGGAAGAGAGTAATATCTTTGGAGGTGAAGCAAAGAAAGCACAAACTAAACAAAGAGCTACAACCGGAGTGAACATCGGCACGGCCACCATTCAGGGTTGTTTATGATGGCTGCAATTCCACTTTCAACCAGTAGGAGAGAGAGGAGCTGGAAACTTGTGAAGCGTTTCTCTAAATGAACAGCTGAGACTTTTTTCTGCTGTGGAGAAACATCAACCAAGTGAAATGCAAAGTCACCTGTCACCAGAAAAACGCCTTTTTATAAGCACAAAGGACTCTTCCTGTGCTTTAGCTCCCATTTTTCATCCTTCACTTGTAATATTTAGCAAGTCAGAAATGAACAGGTATAATGAGAAATTGATCTTATCTCAAAAAATTGTTGGCCTCTTATATGCTCACTGGACACGTGGATGTATAATAAACACACACACACACACACACACACACACACACACACACACACACACACACACACACGCACGCACGCACACGCACACACACACACACACACACACACACACACACACACACACACACACACACACACACGCACGCACACACAGCATCATAACCGCTGCTGTGCAGAATGTAAAAGCACTCAAATTTGTTAACATGCATCTTAAATTGCAAACCAGTCTCATCAAACCCTTTCTCTTTATTAAAGTCTTAAAGTCATGATCCAGTTTCTGCAGAGCAACACAGTCGCACAGCAGTAAAATCACCAATATGTCAAACCAAACAATGCAAGCTGATTATATGAAACTGTGCAGAAAGGTGATGTTCCTAATTCCTTCTGAAGCCGGGGAAGCTTATACACGCTGATGGATGTGCCCCCCCACCCCCCCTCAGGGGGGAGTTGATGTGTTTTAGCTCTACTGTAAATGTTTACATTCCTGCATGCACTGATGCTATCTGCTAATAGTTTCTGGGACTAGTCTAAGAAGTCCTCTGGGTGGGATTATGTGCAGCGTGTGTGTGAGAATGAGACAGCGATCTGTTTTTAAACAGAGGTATTACCCATGACCTCTCTTGCGCTGAGTAAATTCATTAAGATCAGTAAAACACACATTTTTTTTTACTAATATGAACATTTTTAAAATAGAATGTGATGTTTTTCTTTTAGGGAAGAGTTAAGCTGCTCCTAGCTTGTGTCGCATGAGCTCTAATTCCGTTCATTCCACCCAACAGCCTCAGCAGCCGTTATTTGTAGACACTGTTCAACAAGGTCCTCAAGAAACACGATTCCTTTTACAATAGGAGTGTAGGAAATGAATGTGAGATTGCTGTCTGGGTGTCATGTGAGAAGTCTCCATCAATAGATGTGTATCTTGAGAGTACAGCCAAGCATGGATTAGGTGAGGACTGCCATTCCTGTGTTGCAGACCAGAAAAGCAGCCCCACCCTCCAGGCATTCGTCTCCACGGACAAACCTGCAGCAGCACAAAGACAACAGGAAGCTACTTGTTTCCACCGGCTTCACAGAGTATTGTCTTTAAATGTGTCTTGTTCTTTCTACAGTTTTTCAGAAGATGCTGCATCATAATAAATAACAAATAATATATAATGATGTCGCTGGAGCACATTCACTGCCACAGGCAGATAAAGAGCTGAAGAATTTGTGACCTGAGTGAGAAAACTGTATTTTAACGCATCAACTCCCAGAAAAAAATTCTGGATTTGCATATAAAAAGTCTCCAAAAGATTCTCTAAAACTGCAGCTATCTTCTTGCCTACACATCTCTTATTAGAACGAGAAACTAACAAGCTTCTACGAGAACCAGCATGGTAAATATGTAGGTACAGGTGTGTGGGAGCAGGAAACAAGTTGTAGGAAATATGGCCTTGAGTCCTGGAATCTCCCTTCTAGAAAAGATCAAATGTTTTTTTATTTTTTTTAATATGATGGCTGCATGGTGGTGCAGTTGGTTGCACTTGCAGTGAGATGGTTTCATGTGCCGCACTGCAGCTTTATGGGGTTTGCATGTTCTCCAGTTGCGTGCATGGGTGTTCTCCAGGTACTCTGACTTCTTGTCTATGACCAGAAACATGAGTGTTATTTTCTTTGGTGGCCCTGAATCGTGTCTAGGTGTGAATGAATGATTTAATAGTTTTATCTAATGGGTTTTAACGGGGGCATATTATGACTTTATTTCTTAACTTATAAAAGTTCTTTGTTCGATGTGAAACATGTTTATGAAGGTTGTTGCACTAAATTCCTCTCATATAAAGCAATTTCAGCAGTTTTATTCTGGACAGTTTCGGTACCTTCCACAATGAGCCGTTTCAGGGCCTGAACATAAGCTGGAGTTGGCCACATCAACTCACTCCCCAGTCAGGCTGCTATAAGGAGCAGGGTCCCGCCGGCCGCAGGAGGTTACTTCTTGGGCTACAGAAATGCCTTAATGGGGGTTACTGTAGTTTTTCACTAACCAATCAGAATGGGCATCAAAATACGTTATTTCCCTACTACGTTTTTCAAAATAAAAGTCTACAGTAATGATCATGTTGCACTACCATAGCAAAATAAAAGCAGCCACACATACAGAATACATTTTTGTTGATTTTTAAGATATTGTAATGACTCCAGCTTGTTCTTTCCATTTCGGATCTTTATTCCGGGTTACTGTTGGCTGCTGCCCACGCCTTAACTCCAGGAAAAACAACGTTAACAATCTCCATTCAAACTAGCTAGTTTTCTCTTTCTAAACAACCGACCCGGAACTCTCCACACAAACTGCCAAGAACACCCCCTTCAACATAAAATTCCAACCATAACAAATTATAACCCGTTACACTATTGTAAAACAATGTAAAGCATGAGATATATAGCCTATATTTAAGCACTTATACTAACCATAATCATATTTTGAAATGAGTTTGAATATCATGAAATGTTAAAATGTTACTTTATTTTGAAAAGCCCCTGCTTCTTCCTGTCTAGCGGTGGTGTTTTGGGTGCACTTCTCATGAGAGACAGTCCAGTAGAGATGTAAAGTTTGTGTCCCGCCTTACTGACAGTCTCCTATATCGAGTTAATTCCTTGTCTCCCGTTTTGAGTTTAATGTTTGTATAAACTGTGAGTAAAGCAGGAGGCGGGACTTAAATGCAGGTTCGGGTTTGGAGCGTGTGGAGCGCGTGGAGCGTTTTCACGTCAAACCAGCAACACAAAATGAAAGGGCAGGGTGAACACAGATGATCAAAAACTGTATTAAAAAAAGATGGAGACCAGATAGATGAGCAGAGAACATATCTTATTTTGAAATATCATAGGTGAAGTAACATTTCAGGAGGGAATAACAAGAAGGGGGTGTTCCCGCTTTGGATTGGGTGTTCCCATTTACAAACAAAAATGCTCCTTTTAGCAGCTGGCCAGATGATATTGGCTATAAGTTGAGAAACTCCAAAATGGGGGAGGGGCTCGGAGAAGAACCACTGCTCCTCCTGCAGGCGAGAGGTGGTTAAATGCTAATTTCCCCATTTGTGACATCACAAACAGGCAATTTTTGAAACTGCATGTTTGAGTCACATAATTTCTAAAACCAAACACTAACGGAAAATAGATGGATGAGTTTTTCCTTGTTTGGAGTGTTTAACGCGGCAGAGACTCACACGGAAGCACAACAATTATGCAAAAGGTGAGTTTTTTATGTCTCCTATAAGAGTGGCAAATTCAAAAGCAACCTGCACATTCACTTCGACGTCAAAGCTCCCTGAGACAACTTCTTTGAAATTCAGGAAAACTTTATTACAGACTCATAAATGACAGACAGTCTGGGGATCCTGCTTCCTATAAGACAGATCCAAAGTCATCTGCCAAGTAGCCGGCATTCACCAATCACAAACCACCTGATACAATTATTTTCCATAATCCTTTGGCATTCACTCCCCTCCTGTGGCCATGCAGGAACTTTCTCACACCTGCTAGAAAGGCGCTGAATTATATCTCTGATAAGCGTAACTCCCTTATTCTCCCAGACCCAACAATAGGCGCTTTTCTTCTCCTTTAGCCTCATAAGGTCAGGCTATGTGGGAGAAAAAGCCTTTAATTAAAAGTGCTGCAGCCATGAATGGGATGAGGGTTGTCATAAAACACCTCATTAGCTTCATACTTGACCAAGATAGTTAACAAGTCTTACTGGGCAGATTCATGCTCAGTAGAACCAGTTTCACTTGATTTATCTTTAGCAAGCGGAAATACTATAATCTGCACATTGTGCCACTTTGTCTCTAACTTCCTCTGTTGCCAATAGAAATTCACTTAGTGCATCACCAGAAACTTAAAGCAGTCTTCTCTAGTCACGTCAGCAGCACAATGGAAAATATGTGAAAAAGAAAGTTAGGCTCATTGGCGATGAGGCGACTCAGACGAGAGAGCTGCTGTTGCACAGTGCCAACCTTAAGATTACTTGAAGTGTTTTGATGCAGAAGATAGATGAGGTTTGGACCGGTGCCAGAGAGCAGAGCGGTGATTAACCAAGCCAAAGTGGAAAAAGGAACTCTGAAGTACCACATCAGAGATCCGTGATGGCACGGCCTTTTTCATCGTGTGATATTCTAGAATCACGACAGCGCGGATCGTTCACGCAACCAAACTCTGGGTCAAAGACGTAGACGTTGGCCAGCTTGTGTCACATTTGTGTTTTTATTTCCATATCAGTTGTGGTCATTGTGTGAAATCCTTCCAGTCAAAGGAGTGGTCTTGTCAGTAAATGATGATGAATGTGTTCTTTCTCACATGTGCAGCCATGCTAACATCTCCATGGTCCATTGATCCCCTCTGACTCATGCAGCACACAAACGCAGCAGGCGTGTGCACAAAACACACATTTATATAAAACAACAGCCTCTCACAGGAGGACGTTTTTCATAAACATGTTTGTTTTTAGGACTTGGAAAAAGAAAATAACAATAAATATTTATTAAAAATGAAGGTGATGCCAATAAATCATCAATAAATGAGTAAAAAAATGCATTCTTTGAATTTAAGATTTGCTCAGAATTTTCAGGATTCCTGGAGGTTCAAGGTGGACTGTAAAAATACAGAATCATTATTATTTATATTTATTATTTTTGTATAATATCTCAGAACAGAAATCTCTGTGTTTGGGTTTTTGTTACACACAGTGAAGTGAGTTTCAGGAGATTTTAATGTTCAACAAGGTGATGAAATGCAATTAAGCCATCATCATTTTGTAAATTATTAAGAGGCTTGAAGGTGAACTCTCATGGCTTTCTCAGGTCAGAGTTTCCTCCCAAAAAACGAAAACACACACACAACTCTTCACCTTATGACCTCTAACCCAAAATGGTTAGATTCTGACTTCTTAGGTATTTCAAAATAAAACCAACAAAGTTTATTTTAAATTATTCTCCAAGAAAACTGCAAATGGTTTGATTAAAACAAAAATTCAAGATGGAGCAAAAAATTGTGCAGAAAACCAGATTTTATCATTTAACAATTTATCTTTGTTTTCTTTGAGTTTACCAACTTAAGGGTGTTTTGTCCTGTTTTGTTCTGAGCTCGCTGATTGGCTGGATGAACTAAAAGAAACTAATTACATTAAATGTTTTGGAGACTTCAGAAGCTTCCTCTGCTCCAGGGCTGGTAATAGTAGCACAGGTAGGGGTGGTACTGGTGGTACTGGTGGTTCTGGAACAGTGACCCAGTCAAAGGGTGTCCACTGAGCTGCTGGTTCTGCTTTGGTTCTCCCCTCACCAGAACCTTTACGGCCACTGTTTTTGGTGAGCTCATCTCGGTCACCATCTGGCGCCGTTTGGTTTTATATCTCCGGTTCTGAAACCAGATTTTCACCTGGGTCTCGGTGAGCTTCAGGGCTCCCGCCAGGTCGGCCCGCTCTGGACCAGAGAGGTACCGATGGACGCTGAAGCGGCGCTCCAGCTCGTGGACCTGCGCGTGAGAGAAAGCCGCTCTGGAGCGCTTCTTTGTTCCCGCGCTGCAGTGGCGCTCCCCCACTGCGCACCTGAGCGTCTCCTCGCTGCGGAAGCATCCACCTATCTCTGCATCCACCAGTTTTTTCTGCAGCGGGCCGCGTTCCATTATCTGGTCTGGAGACAGAGAGCGTAACAACATGGTGGTCAAGAGCAGGTGATGGAGGTTAGACTCACTCTGTTATTATGATTGGAATATTAATGAAAATAAAAAGTGTTAATGTTTTAAATAAACTTGTTCTGGCATAACATATTTAACCAAATTTAAAAATAAAAACAAAACAAAAAAATCTATAAGATATAAGAAATGTGATATAACTCTTGACTTAGCCACGCAATTCTACATTTTATTCTAATCTAATACATTTTATTTTAAAGCAATTTTTTCGTTCCATTTTTTTATTTTCCGTCTAAAGTTCAAACCAGGATGCCTTCATCCACCAAAAGCAAAATCACATTTTTTATTCAATAAATATTCGTGACCGATCATTTCCCACCTCCTCCGAGTGTCTCCTCTCCTCTTCCATTCCCCTCGCATGTATACGCTCTGAAGCTCCCATGAAGCGCTCGTAAATCAGGAGAAAGTCCAGTCGGATGGATGCTGCTCTCACAGCCGGTGCGTAAATTGCGTGAAGGCGCGCAGAGCTCCTGTGCGTCAATGGCGCTGGGATTCCCTTTGGCATCACGTCTCGCGAGTATATCTTTTATATAAAAGGGCGAGAAGCTTAATTTCATGATTGGCAATAAGCGCACGTGTGTTTCCGTATGCCGGTGTGCGCTGCGCATGGAAGAAAAATCAAAGAGCCAAGCTCTCCACTCTAATTTAATTGCGGTTCATGAACTAAGTAATGTTTTAATGAGCTGTCTCCACGAAGATCTGCAGCACGTTTACTATCCTCTCAGCGGCTGCAGTTAAGACTCGATATGGCTGTTTGGTCTGTCTGGTCCCTCCTTCGCGCCGCCCATACACGACAACACAAGAAACAAGATTATTTTCTTTTTTAAATATACTTTTTCTTATCTTTATCTATTTCTTTCCTTCTGAAAGAACAAAGAGAAACAAATATTTCAATTTTGAATAAGAACATGCATGTATTGCGTGGAGGCTTTTAATTAAATTATTTGCGTTTAATTCACAAGACGTGCGTAAAAACGCACAATCGCTCATAAAACAGACTTTTAGCGTCGCAGCTAAAACTAAACACTAAAGCTATGATTGATTTGATGGCTTCACACAATTATTTTATATTTATCAGTGTCAAATGTTATATTCTTAATTTAACTTGGATTTTATCTCGCTATTTACCAATAAAACAGTTCATCACATAAATCCCTCTTTTTTGCGAGAAAGTGGAAACTTTCATCGCAGACAAGTGAGCAGCGCCGCCTGGTGGGCAGGGCTTTGCTCCATTATGAGGAAATCAAATGATCCGTGCGTAAACCTCCACCCAAATAGACATTTTACGCAATCAGCTGCTCTGTGTTGACAGACGCAGTGCTGCCCTCCTTTGTTTCCTTTAAAACGCAGCTCAGGGTGTCGAAGCCTGTCTGGGAGGGAACCGTTATAAACTCAGGCACTTTATTACAGCATGAAAAATCCGTGTCAATAACAGAGATGAGAAATAAAATGCTTGAATTGGGAAGCCTTTATTTTACTTTGATAAAAATTTGTCGAATCAATCAATTAAAGAAAGAACAACTGTATCTTTATGGGAACATTTAAAGTTTGACTTGATCGGCGTTCTAGGAGTAAAAACCGCGCACAAGAAGAATCACTTTAAATCCATTTTAATTAAACGCTAAATAATTTAGTCGCACCTTCCTTGATGGAGGCCATTAGGGCAACCTATTTTCTGCTCCTGTTGAGTGGTTGCCATTGGAGACCTTGCTGTTTTAGGGGAAGCTCGCGCGCTGACAGCGCAGGGAAGAGCCGCCGAGCCGAGCTGCTATCTTTGGAAGCCCGTGATAGCGATCGCGGACGCCTGTCAGAGCAGCCAGTGTCCAGGCCGCCGCGTCCTCAGGCATCGCCGTCCTGTCGCCAGCTCTATTTACACTAGTGACTCTGCTGCACTTAGAGCTGACACCAGGTATGTCCTACCGGCAGCGCGGGAGCCAGAGGAAGTGTCCGGCGAGGCTTTCAGAGGAGACAAACCCTCTGTTTACTTTAGCATTTATCTCCATTAATAGCGTCTGCCATGCGGCTTAGGTGTGTGTGTGTGTGTGTGTGTGTGTGTGTGTGTGTGTGTGTGTGTGTGCGTGTGTGTGCGTGTGTGTGTGTGTGTGTGTGTGTGTGTGTGTGTGTGTGTGTGTGTGTGTGTGTGCGTGCGCGCACGTAGGCCATGCATATATTATTATTATTATTATTTATTATTATTATTATTATTATTATTATTATTATTATTATTATTATTATTATTATCGTATGCACCGTTTTTTCTTCATTTATATATTTCATGTTTATATATATTTTTTTCTGCATTACTCATCCCTGAGTGCTGCGGTGGTTTCCAGGCTGCGTGGGTCCCGTTGGCTGTCTGGTTAATGTCCATCTCTGAGATCGCCTTTAAATTGTCTCAGTTTCTGGTTCTTGTCTCAAACCCAAACTGCCTTTCTCACAGGATAGGAGGGGAAAAAGAAGCGCTTTGGCTTGAGAAACAATTTGAGACGATGACAAATGTTGGAATAAATCGCGCTCCGTAAGTTTTCCTCCCCCCCTTTTTTTCCAGATTTAACTCATCATTCTAAATACGCACTCACAGACATATGACCTTTTCACTGAGACGCAGAGAAATATAACCACCATTACGTTCTATTGGGTTTGTTTAATTTCATCACCATGCAGGAATCACCTTCATTCTTGCGTAAATTCTCTGTAAGCAACAAAGTTCAGAATGACTCAAGAAAAAAAATACAGAAAATACAAGTTAAGCTGATAAAAAAGAAACACAAATAAAGTAACAATAATACTAGGTCTGGTGTTGGTTGTGCATCATTTTGCAGCGTTGTGGCTCCATTTAAACACGATTACAGTCATTTCAAACCTATAAACGTCTATACACGTTCCCTTTATTTGTGCAGCACGTTACATCTAATTTGAACCATTACGCACAACTTAACACGTCGGTAACAATGATATCAGGACTTCACTGCTGTTCTACATGTGTTATGACAAAAAAAAAATCAACGACTTCCTTGTCTGAGTTTGCGTGCATCGGGATTTAGGTCCATATCCACCCTGAGGTCTGATTTACTGCCCCCCACCAGCCACTACCACGCCCGGATGCCCTGCAGAGATCCTTGGCAGGGCGTGACCGGTCCCTGGGCAGCTTGGCTCTGCGTCTGAGCACCAATGTTTCCCAAATTCATGTTCATGAAGGCGTTGGTCGTGTTGCTCGGCGGGAGCGCAGGTAAGCTAGAATAAGAACAAGAGTAAGTGTTGGTGTACATCGAGTTGCTGTAGCTGTAGGCCGGGTAACCGTTGTAGCTGTACGGGGTTGGGGCTCCCACCGTGTAGGGACTGTTGTAGTTCTGAGATCCAGCCAGGCAGGGCCTCCCGTCTCGGACCAGAACCGGCACGGCTACCCTCCGAGGCGGCGGTGGAGGATGGTGGTGGTGGTGGTGGTGGTGATGACCTGCGATCTCCAGAGTCTTGTCCTGCCGCTGCCTTTTGCATTTGTACCTCCTGTTCTGAAACCAGATCTTAACCTGGGTGGAGGTGAGTTTCAGAGAGCTGGCCAGGTGCTCTCGTTCTGGGGCGGACAGGTAGCGCTGCTGCTTGAAGCGCCGCTCCAGCTCGAACACCTGCGTCTGGGAGAAGAGGACGCGTGGCTTCCGTCTGGTCCTCTGCTGCTTGGCGGATTTGTCCGACTCCAGGTCCTCGCAGCCCCCCCGCGACGCACCGCAGCTCTCTGAAACGTCACGTTAGAGAATATTTTTCTTTGTTTTACAGAAACATTTTTAAATATATTTTTAACGACCCAATAAAATGATTTAGACAATTGGAGGCTTTTATTTATTTGGGGAAAATAATAAACGAGTTAATTAATCACACAATTAAATCTGTGAATTTCTGCAGTGAAAAGTTAATAAATAAAATCAGGCCAGAATGTTTCCACCTGGCAATGTTTCAGTTAGGTTTTCATTCATAAATCAGACAGGTTAGGTTGACGTTGGAGCTGGATGGTTAAACATGATTTAAAACGACTCTTAATCGCTTTGCAGCTTCAGTGCTTTTAGCTTTATTATAAAATTGCTAAATTCTTGTGAAATCCTTTTTCTGGGGTGTTTAAACTCATTTTTATTTTCATAATATGGTGTACAACATTTAAATCTATGGGCATTTTATGGTGGTTTCATTTAGCAGGAAACTCAGGTGTCAAATAACGCAAATGTTGTTGTTGTTTTGATGGCTTAAACGTTGTTTACAAATTGGGTAATTATCTGGAATCTCTTAGATCAAACATCAATAATTTAACTCACTGCCTTCGTGCTCCTCCTGCTCGGTCTCCAGTCCTGCAGGGTGACTCTGAGCGACATTTCCGAACACCTCCGCCGCCAAACCGCTCTCCGTCATCCGGTCCTGAACGTTCAGAGCACCGAGAAACGACATCCTCTCCTCGCTCTCCGAGAGGCAGGAGCTGATGGGGCTGGGGCTGTCTCTGCCTGCCAGCATGCAGGAGGGTGGTGAATGAGCGCTGAAGGGTTTGTTTGCAAAGCTCCCCGGCTGTGAAAGCGCGCTGGAGAGGCCGAAGCAGGAGATGAGCTGGAGCTGGTGCTGCTGAGATTGTTGTAGCTCCAACCTCAGAATATCCTTCACGGAAAAAGGCGTGGTGGAAGCAGACACGATCGGGCTGGGAAACATCCTGACATGTATTCACCAGATGGAGGAGTGAAGCGGTATGTCTTCGGACGGCGCGTAAAACAAGCTGAAAGCTCGTGCGTAAAGCTGAAAAGTGGCTGCGCTCTGCTTGTTTTTCACCCAGACGGAGGCGGGTTGGCGTGCGTTCAGCTGTGACATGCCTCTCCTCTGGCTGCGCGTCTCTGGCTGGAGGGCTGGCAAAGAGTGAGAGAGAAAGAGAGAGAGAGCAAGAGAGAGGTCGGTCCTGTTTGGCTGCAGAATTCAGCTATCTGGAGAAAGAGCTGGGTCAGCCAAAGAGCGCTCCTCTCCCTTTCAGTGACGTCACTGAGCGGGGGAGGGGCTGACAGAATCTTTTTCCGCGTTTATCTGCAGGAAAACATTTCTAATTGAAGATTAAAATATTCACGCCATCGACTTTCATCTCTTAAGGTAAGAAAGATTCATTAAACCGCTTCTTGTTGGTTCAGAAAACCGCGCCACTTCACTCGATATTTCATTTCGACCTGATTATTTTAGTTTAATCCATCAGTGTTTTGCCATCAACACTGGTTTTTAGACAAGACAAATCAGCGTTTCATGCGTCAGAAATCAGATAATCCAGCAGGAGTTCGAGAAACGAGATAACATTGAGAGTGTTGCGTTTTAGGGTTTAAAAATAGAAAGTAAAGCTTTCCTTTCACATAAACAAGTCCTCAACAGATTCCATGTAATTTTAAAGCACAGTAAGCAAATGGGCTAATTATGAATGAATTTATGTTTTATCTGAAATATTTGCTTCATGCGCTCCAGGAAATGGATGTTAGAGGTCCACAAATTTAGTTCCACTGTTTTTGTTCCTTTAAGCAAAAGTTTTCTGATTTACAAAACTTACAAATTTTATAAGGAGGACATTAGTTTAACCTTAAGCTAAAATATTTCATAAGTAAATAAAATAAAATTACAATAAAACTAAAACTTATTTGAATGTACAAAGAATCTCTTCAGTTGTTCCTCCTTACTTCAGCTAAACATTAGTCGCGTCTAAAAGATCAAATGTCATCAAATTGAAAGTTTAAAGAAACTTTCAAAAGTGTAAAAACTCAAAAAAACAAGAGAGTTTAAAATTTTTGTTCTCAAAAGCTTTTTAAAAAAGGCCCAAATAAACCTTTTCCATAAAAAACCAAATCAAGTTTGGGTCTATAAAAAACATGATTAACATAATGGAACCAAAATGTTTGCGTTATTTTTGGATTTTTTTTTTTTACCTATTCATGTTCAAAAATTCTTCTGCCTAAGATTACATAATAATAATAATAATAATAATAATAATAATAATAATAATAATAATAATAATAATAATAATAATATGTGTTATTCTTCCTAACATTTAAAGCCCTCCGTGGTGAAACTGGACACCTTTCTATTGCGCGGCTATCTGTGGCCAAGTGCAGGCGCCAGAGTCTGAGGGTCTTTTGCTCTTAAACCGCGTGGAAAGAAAAGAAGGGAATGTGGATATAATCTCATCCGCTCCCCATCAGCAGCAGGACAATGTTTAGATTAGTGATGCGTCTCCTCTTCTTCTCAAAACGGACCAAGGGCTGCCGGAAGAAAATGTGTTTTTACGCACAGAGTTGGTGGTTAAATGTAAATCCTATAGAAACCTCCTTTTCAGAGTTAATTTGACATGCAGGATTTGGTGAATCATTTTAGAAATGATCCTTTTTGTTATAGAAATATAACAGAGCCGATAACAAAATGGGGTTTTAGAATTGTACAAAATTTGAATTGCTTCAAAAAAGTAGGGATTCTCTTTCTAAGCAGAATGAACCCATGACTTAAAGTCCTTGAAGCTCCGCAGATGCGTGGTCAGTGCGTCACGGTTCACATCCACGATCAGCCTAATGGCTCACTTAGCTTTCAAACCAAAACACGTACGAGCACGCGCGCAAGCCTTAGGAGCCCCTGACCACCACCACCATCACCATCATCATCATCACCATCAACATCGTCGGCCGTCCTGCGTGCCACTGTCCGAGCAGAGGCGCGTGTTTACGGAGCGGAAGAGTCTGTTTCCTGCCTGTAACAAAACCCAGACCCTCACAGGGTGTCAAGGAGCTCCGCGGTGCTGAGTGCGACTCCCCGATACATCATCTTTATTCCAGAACCATCGTTGATAAGCTGGGCGAGGTCAGGCCCCGACAGCGCAGGTCAGCGAGCAGAACGCTGCGTTCTGGACACGAGAACTAACAAAATCACGAGGATTTAAATTAAACAAAATAAAAAAAAACAAGTGAAAGTGACACAAATGGTCTTTTATGTGTAAATGCCATAATTTATCTTCCTCAGGTGAGTTCTTAGAAGTTGAAGCAGAGCTCAACATGCCTTATCTTGTTTGCGTCTGTCTGCTAAAAGCTCTTTGCCTGATGGAATTGCAGGTGTTCCATATCAAGAGCTGGAATAAAATCCCATCAGAGCTTTAAAATGACCCTAATAGACAATGAAAAGGCTATTTGGATGTGACGAAAATAATCTATTTAGTAATTTCTGAAGCTGCTGTTAATTAGATTATAATTTGTTCATTTTTAATTTCCCATAAAATCAAAGTTTTGGCCATTTTTATGGGTGAAAACTAAAAGTTACCAAAATAATCATAATTGGAAATTTTTTTAACAGGAGTGATGAGCTAACGGCCAGTGGCGCCCCAAGAAAACTTTCGGGGGGGGTGGGGGGGGGGGGGGTGGGGGGGGGGGCAAATTTGACACATATATTTCAGTGATTATCGGTCTCATAATACCCATGGATATAGTGCGTTCTTGTGTAATGACCATGTTCTTGGCAAGTACGCCAGAGAACGGCCTTTGGAACAAAACAGTCATGGCCACAGACTTTTGCTACATTAAAATAATGACCTGAAACACAAAATAAAGTCTAGCTTTCCCCTTAAAAAACAATAACAATGAATAAATTTTATCTGTGTAATATTTGTTCCAATTTTTATCCAAATCAATGATATACCAGAATTTCATCCATCAATGAGGGAAAGATAACGTTACCTTTTTCCCTCAAAACAGCTAAGGCAACACGTTTTATTTTGATAGTGGGTTAGCTAACTAGCATTTTGAGGTAAGAGTCAGAAGAAAACTCTCACGGCAAATTTTACAGGTTACATATTTATCAACATTAACAGAAAACTTAGTTTTATTTATTTTGACAAAATTGGTATTTTTAAAAACACGGAGCTTTCTTATTTGCTTAACGGTATAACATTTTGCCATGCAGGGCATAGGATACCTTGCTGGCCCAAATTCACAGAACCATGCATTTGCATCCTTGATGCAGTGGGCGGAGCAAGAACTCATCTTTGAACTTTGAGTGTACTTGCCATGATACTACTAGGATAGAAACAGTACTTGGACCCATAGACATGAATACGTAGATGCCCCATTGGGTGCTGTAGAGCGTAACAGCATTGCTGCCATATTGGGTGGGTTCCTCACTCTCCAAACCCAACTGGAGTCAGCAAAGGGTGAGCAACTATGCCCATTTTTTGTGCAGCCGACAGTTGCAACAAACAGAGTACTATTAAAAAGATCACGTGGGATTACTATTGACTTTTCTACCTGTTGGGATTTTTTATTTTATTTTATTTCATTTTCTATCCATTTTCATCCGCTTATCCGGAGTCGGGTCGCAGGGGCAGTAGCCTAAGACGAGAGGCCCAGACTTCCCTCTCCCCAGCCACTTGGGCCAGCTCCTCCGGGGAAATCCCAAGGCGTTTCCTGGCCAGGTGAGAGACATAGTCCCTCCACCATGTCCTGGGTCTATCTTTAGGTCTCCTCCCGGTTGGACGTGCCCGGAAAACTTCACCAGGAAGGCATCCACGAGGCATCCTGACCAGATGCCCGAGCCACCTCAACTGGCTCCTCTCAATGTGGAGGAGCAGCGGGTCTACTCCGAGCCCCTCCAGAATGACCGAGCGTCTCACCCTATCTCTAAGGGAGAGCCCAGCCACTCTTCGGAGAAAACTCATTTCGGCCGCTTGTACCTGCGATCTCGCTCTTTCGGTCACTACCCAAAGCTCAGGACCACAGGTGAGGGTAGGAACGTAGATCGACCGGTAAATCGAGAGCTTCGCCTTCTCACTCAGCTCTCTCTTCACCACGACAGACCGGTACGACGCCCGCATCACTGCAGATGCAGCACCAATCCGCCTATCGATCTCACACTCCAGTTTTCCCTCACTTGTGAACAAGACCCCGAGATACTTAAACTCCTCCACTTGGGGCAGGACCTCATCCCTGACCTGGAGAAGGCATTCTACCCTTTTCCGAATCAAGACCATGGTCTCAGATTGAGAGGAGCTGATTCTCATCTCAGCTGCTTCACACTCGGCTGCGAACCGCTCCAGCGAAAGCCGAAGATGACATTCTGATGAAGCCAACAGGACCACATCATTTGCAAAAAGCAGAGACCTGATCCTCAGGCCACCAAAACGGATGCCCTCCACACCTTGGCTGTGCCTAGAAATCCTGTCAGTAAAGGTTATGAACAGAATCGGTGACAAAGGGCAGCCTTGGTGGAGTCCAACTCTCACTGGGACCGAGCCCAACTTACTGCCAGCAATGCGGACCAAGCTCTGACACCGGTCATACAGGGACCTAACAGCCCGTATCAGAGGGCCTGGTACCCCATACTCCCCCAAGCACCGACCACTGGGCCCCCCACAGGGCCCCCCGAGGGACGCAGTCAAACGCCTTCTCCAAATCCACAAAACACATGTAGACTGGTGGGGCAAATTCCCGCGCCCTCCAGGAACCCCCTAAGGGTATACAGCTGGTCCAGTGTTCCACGGCCATGATGAAAACCACATTGCTCCTCCTGAATCTGAGGTTCAACAATCCGATGGACCCTCCTCTCCAGAACCCCTGAATAGACCTTACCAGGAAGGCTCAGGAGTGTGATCCCCCTGTAGTTGGAACACACCCTGCAGTCCCCCTTTTTAAATAAGGGGACCACCACCCCAGTGGGACTGCCCCCGATGTCCACGTGATATTGCAGAGCCGCATCAGCCAACACAGCCCCACAACATCCAGAGACTTAAGGAACTCTGGGCAGATCTCATCCACCCCTGGAGCCTTGCCACAGAGGAGCTTTTTAACCACCTCAGTGACCTCAGCACCAGAGATTTGAGAGGCCAACCCAAAGTCCCCAGACTGCTTCCTCACTGGAAGACGTGTCGGTGGGATTGAGGAGGTCTTCGAAGTATTCTGCCCACCGATCCACAACGTCTTGAGTAGAGGTCAGCAGCACACCGTCCCCACTATAGATAGTGTTGGTAGTGCACTGCTTTCCCCCCCTGAGGCGCCGGATAGTGGACCAGAATCTCCTCGAAGCCGTAC